CGTATAGGGTGCATTATCAAGTGGCGGCGACCAAAACGAGCCGCTGGTGGAGTGCAGCAATGCACCCCACGTCTCTTGGAGGTACAACGCTGCAACGCTGGTACAACGCCAGCGCATTTGCCACGCCACTCCCGCTTTCTCTAATGCCATGGCAGAGCGGAATGTCAGCCGCCAAGTCGCGGGACTGTAAGCAAAGCCCCCAAACACAGTCGATCAGTGGAAAACCCCAATCCAGCACCAGCACCAGCACGCCCACACAAAACGCCGATCCAGCACCAGCAGCAGCAGCAGCCGCACCAGGCACGCCTGAAGGTTGGGTGCTTGGCCGTCATCGTGCATGGATCATGGGCTGGTCAACCAGGATTCTACCTCCAACGCCTTTCTATTCCAAGGTGTGCCAACTTCCAAGGTAAGGTAGTCAACTTTTTTGCAACGAACAGTATTGGAATCGTAGTGCCAATTGGGCAACCGTTGAGATCTCAGTTCGTGGTACATTTTTCTATACCATGTGGAGGTTTAGGTACAGTAATGTATTTCACCTTATATGACTATGCAGACTATGCAATACTTTATTGCAACTGTGCCGTTGCACGGGCACCGCACGCAGCGTGGAACGCACCCACGCTCACGCAAACGGAACGGCACGGGCACGCAGGAAAATTCTCTTTATGCTTGCACACGTGAGGCAGACACCAGACCCAGCAAATCGTTTGAAGGGCCGATGTTCCAAAACTCCTTTGTGCACGCAGCAACTCACTAAATGTCACATGCAACGACAGGTTTTTGCTCCTTCCTTGTCCAAATTTGACCCTCGGGTGGCTCACAAATGGCATGGAATGGCTGCTTCCTCGTCTAAATTTTACCATCGGATCGGTGAAGGCTTATGAAGGCTTCCTAGTCTTCCAACATGAAAATGTACAAGCGAGTCGTTGTCAGCGTCTACAAAGCGAGGCGCTTTTCACGTGCACAAGCGTTATGCCCAGTGTTGCAAAAACATGGAACACATTGAAAACACAGCACCCCTTCAATATATGTATGCCTGACTGGTTGAAGGTCCAAACTTGTGGCTGCTGAGTGGCTGCACTTGAAAACATGCTCCCTCTGGTAAGGTGTGCTCGCATAGATTGGACCAGCTGGCAACTGGGCAGTCCTGCAAAGTCACCGTCTGAAGGTTGAATAGCTTGGACAATCTCGGACACAACATCAGCCCATGGAAGCTAGACCCATAAATGAAACAAGTGGGACCGGACATGACAAAATCTCAAAGGCCTCAAGCCTCCGACTGCCCTTGTCAAAGTTCGCACCTTGGCAAATCAACATTTGTATCGCACCCTGTGGTCCACGGCATTTCCAAAAGAACCACAGTCAAAGAATCAGAAACATTCTGCAGTATGAGCAGGCAGCTATGCGTTCAGAGACACCATCCAGAAAAAGCCAAGATGCTTTCTTGGCTTGGGATTTCCAGAACTTTGGTAGAAGGGCCGTCAATGAAAGCCACGATCAATAGCACAGCCACAGCACACCCAAGCTTGCAAGGAGTCGCCATCGTCTGAAGTTGCAAAAGATTTATGCACCTTTTTCTCCGTGCCTTGCCAAATGTTTTGTTGTTTTTAAGTTGAAGCCTTCTTGTCCCTAGCGGCTGTCATTTTATATAACTAAGGCGGATGACGGATGGAACTTTTTTGAGATAGAGATTAATGGCCTGGGAGGTTAAACCTTACTTGGTGCTGCCAGGCCCCTGCGCTGTAGTTCTTCAGAAATTGCATTGGTGGGAGGTTAATGCATGTATATAAAGGAAAGAAAGCAACATTCACTCCGAAACAGTCACGCAGTAATGACAAGCGACTTGACCATCACAGGTCTTTTTCCAACACAATGTGTGTTACAAAAACCCATTAGCGTCTCTTCTGAGCACGACTGTGTGCGCGCACCTGGAAAATTGAAGGTGGCTTCCGTAAACAACGACTCTTGCGTGTCATTCTTGGAAGACCAGTCAAAATTTGCACACAAGTGCCACTCTATGTGGCGACGATTGAACAAAATTAGTTCTGGCCCAATTCCTGCAACAGACTTGCTGTTGCACCTCCCACATTGGCTAAATTTCTTTTCAGCAGCTGCCCCATCAGCTGCCGGATTTGCTTATCCATGTTGTCCAAGCTCCCCAGCTCTGAAACAATGTACTCAAAAATGTTCTTCCTGAAACCGTAGCCGGAATGCGATCACAAAGCAAACCAGTCTTAATTGTCAAACTATCTGTGGCTTTGGCAGGACTGCCCCAGGACCGAAAAATACCGAACATGGACGTGCTATCAAAGCAAGCGTCTTGTCTTCGTCGCTGGATGCATGGCAACTCGCAACCTTCAAGCACTCAATTTTCTCACCAACCTGCAAAGCGATGTCAAAGGATGTGCACGCGTCCTCAGAACATATGAAGGCTTGAAAGACTTGCGCTCAAGCAGCGCCAGTTGTTCAAAACTATGAACGCGCAAGTTTTTGCCGGATCGCGCAATAGTTTATTTAGGTCTTATTCTTGCAGGAAACAACCTAGAATCCCTTCATGGCCTTCTAGGTTGCTTTTCTATTCTAGGCTTCTTTCCTATTCTGCTTGTAAGGGCCCCCGGATGTTTGGTGGCCAAGACAGGGACATGGGAATTTTTAGGCTGGATTGGAGCACGATTACCGATCGTGTTTCTTCGGAAAAAGCGCCGACTGATGCCAAAAGAAATCCCGGAGGTTTTGTGCAAAAACTATGAAACTACATGAGCGAAACTAGGTCTACGGCAGCAGTGTGTTTTCCATGTGCTTTCTATTTTGATGGTCTTCCACTTTGGTCCTTCCTTGATTGTAAGAAAACGGCCCAGGATTCTATGACATGAATCACGATTCATGGAATTCTAGTTAGGTTGCTCTCTTAGAATAGCTACGAACCATGAGGATGGGATGGCAGTGTTGAGTTGTCTCGAGGTTGCAGTTTGGTTGAGGATCAAGAACAATGGTATGCATCGTGCGACCCAGCATCATCGCCAACTACGCCGACAGCAGTGGTAAAAACCAGCTCCAAGTTCTCCCGGCAAGACAACAAGAACTCAAACAAGCACCAAACTCCTGCCAGGTCACGGGATGTGTAGATGACATCTAGATGAGACTGGAATATAATAGAGAAAGGATGCAACAAAAACCATGGCAACGACCAACCACTACTTGTTCCAACGAGCTTCTGGTGAGTGGCTGCACTTCGTGATCCAATACCATCACGGTGCCTTTCACGCCACCAGTCAAGGCCCTTGCAAATGCGCTCTCCATGATCGTTGACCCCAAGTCCTCCTTGATCTTCCATTGGTTGTTTGCCTGAGTTTTCTTCAAACATTTCAGCGGGAGGAGTCAGGGCCATTAGAACCAATGCCAAGTAATCAGTGGAGGGTACAAAACTTGAGGACTTCACATGACAGGTTCATGAGCCCCACATGCTGAGCTGAGACAATCAACTCACTTGGTGTCCTACTTCGTAGCATGACATAATCACGAAAATGTAAAGCCAATGCAGTATCTAGTGGCGAAGGAACAAATCCAATAGCTGCTATCTGTCCAACCAAGGCCTTCTTTGGACACAGCATGACAACGAATAGAGCGCACAAAGTGAGCGAAACTTGTTCCCCATGAGTGGGACCTGGCTGCCAACGGCGCAAAGCAAGTAGTTACATGAAGTTCGGAACAGTAAACAGAGGTTTCCGAGTAAACACACGAGCACAGTATCGCGAGTGCCGCACAATGATACAAGGGATGCTCCCAGCGCTAGTGACGTTCAACTTGATCTTTTCTAGTCGATGCGTTGCACATTCTAGACCAGCAGTCTATGAAAAATAACAAGTTCGGTCCCAAGCCAAAGTCCACTATCTGCTATCTGCCCTCAGAAGTGGGTGGGAACAAGGGACGGCCTTACATGTTCCGCAAATACCATCGGTCAGTCAAGAGAAGCCTTGGACTATTGTACAGTACAACGAGGTGCACGGCTTCCAAACACTCACTTGCTCGCACACTGGTCCTGCAATGCTAAAAGGAGATTTGAGCACTTGACATCATATCATCATGGTTGAAATACGGTAGGGCGCCCACGATAAATTTTGAATTTGCTTAGCAAAGATAGACATAACAATGCAGGACCAGTTCTCAAGGACAAATTAGTGAACATAACATGTGCCCAAAAACATGGTGACACGGGTTTTCGCAGCCGTGCGTTTGTGATCGCAAGTCGCACCCCGCCTGCGCTTTCAGCACTTTTTCAAAAGTGCAAATTATGCGAGGGACGACGAACAGTTATCCATTCATTTTTCTCCTTCGAGTGCTTCAAGCGGTTTCATGCTCTGGAATTATGCCGATGGATCCATTGGAAGATTCTCTCCCAGATCTTCCCGTTGAGGGTTTCACCCTGACGTGTCTTCATCTGTGTCGGCAAAAACTTTCTCAAGTGGTGCCAACATCTGTCAATCTGCTGTGTACCAGCGAGGTGCAACCCTCACAGGCTTACTCCATTTTGGAATGGACAAGAGATCTCACCTTCAAATGTTTCTTGCGCTGCTCACGCGCAACGGTCTGCCGACTGATGTTGCCATCAGTGTAAACAATAGTGTTCTTCTTCCTGGAGTCTCGGATCTCTTCGATGCCCTCAGTCGGAGGCTTGCCTTTCTCCGCTGTCAGAAGCAATGTTCTCAGCATGACATCCACATCCTCATTCCATCACAACCCCCCACCCCATTTTAATCACACGACTAATCGGTGACAATGTTATGAAACCGATGACAATGTTGTCAAACCGATGACAATGTTCTGAAAACGATGACAATGTTGTGAAACCGATCATTGCATATCATGAAATCGATGAATGGAAGCAGAAATTGCAGAAATCGTGCATATACATGTACAAGAAACACCGAAAATGTGACAAAATGTGAACGCCTCCACGGTTGTGAAAATCCGTGTCACCAAAAACATGACGGAGGCACACAAAGTAGTCCACCTTTCTACCACCCCAAAGTCCCACAAAGGATGTCTGACGCTGAGAGGTCAAAGGTGTTACAATGTTGGCCACAATGAAGTGCATATTGCGTTCCAAGATGAAGCCTTACACGTTCAAGTCCGGCACTCTGTCCCTACAAATGATCCCAGGAAAACACTGAAAATTGTCTTGGCGACACAACGTAATCTTGACTTGCCAGGTGTGGATTGTGATCATAGAGCCGAAGAGGCTCAATGAACGCAACGTTCCATACATTTCCCAAAGATCAACCAAAGACTTGGCTCTCAACAGTCAAGAGGCTCTCAAAGTGCTTCCACAACTCGTAAAGGGTGCTGGCCAGCAGGCCTTGATTCTTTGGATGATCTGCGTCAGGTCCGGGATGCAGTTTGTGTTGGATCTGCTTCTGGTATTCGCTCAAGGTGTCGGCATAGGGTGTCCTCTGATAACGCCAGCGGATGAGGCAAGCAACGGGGTAGTACAAGAGGGCTGCCACCACGCCAATTGGAAGAATGCAAATTGCTAGGGTGACCTTGGTTTGGAGAAGGACACTCACAAATGAGACCTCTTTTTCCGACCTGGACCGCAAAGCAGCAAAACAAAACATGTTGAAAGCCAAAAGGCTAGTGTGTGTTGAAACGTGTTGCCCGATGCCACTGAAACTTGAATGGCCACAGGCAGCAACACAAAAATGAACAAAATGCCGACGATGAGGAAGAAAAGGCGACCGGTCTCAGTGGGATGCAAAACCCCTCCACAGGCCGCGCAATCGAACGGCGCATGTGCATCTTTCAGGCGAAGTTTTCTGCGAGAGACCCCGCAAACTTTCACATTGTTGGCTTTCTCCGCATCAAAATCTAGCCACTGCAGGCCCGTCCCTGTGATACGATACGAGACCAATTCATGCACCCTTGCAGACATCTGCTTGGGCAAATCAACTATGGGTCCTTGCACAGACATTGCAAACGATCTTTGTGGAACTTCTTCCGGAGGATCGTTCACTGCATCTGATCTTGCATCAACCACATACAGGGGCGCAGCCAGAAGTTGGAGAAGGATGAATGCGGACACCACAAAAATGATTGCACCTGTCAGTATTGCTGTACGCTCGGCCTCCTCTCGAGGCAGCATATGGCACACATCAGTTTCTCCATCGGACCAGGCGGTGTACAAAGGACATTTCTCACATTTGCCGCCGTCGACATAGTGCTGGTGGAGCTTACCTCATCTGTCAAAGAAACAGTTGCAACGTCTAACACAGGCCTACAGTAGTTTTCTATTCTTATATGCAGGTTCGGACGATAGTGTGCTGCAGGCTTTGTTTAGTAAAGTTTAGTGCAAAACGAGCCACAGAAAGCGCAAGTATTGAAAACATCCTCAACAGGAACCACCTGCATGCCACGGAAGCGCTCGTTTGTGATCCTTGGCCAAAGCGCATGGCCAATCAGAAATCAAATGAAACCTGACCCTGACCAAGGAAGCGACCCATATATCATCGAAGCAAAGTGAGAGGAAAACGGTGACGGTGCAGGAAAAAGTAGGAACATTCAAAGGAATCCTACTAGTTTGGGAAAATGTGAAGTAGCACGCATCTCAATGCCCTTTCACACCAGCCTCCAAAAATGCAGCAGTGGGTGTCATGCGGGTGTCATGTGGTACGCTTGTCAACGAACCCGTAGCATCGACCCAGGAGTCTTGGATCAGTTTGGAGTCTGTGTCAGTCTCCCATGGACGAACAACTCATCTCAGAAGCTGTGCTCCACACTGCTGACTAGAAAGTCTAGAAAACCGCACTGTTCCTTTCCTTCACGCCGCGCAAGACACCAACCAAAGAAAACTGGAAAAACACAGCTTAAAAAAGAACAAGTCACGAACACCAAAGAACCACAAGCCACCCAAAAGCATCAACAACACCAAATTAAAAAGTCCAAGAAAACACTCTCTGACCATATGTTGGGGTGGGTGTTGGATTTCTTGCGTCATGTTTTCCAGACTCAAGAGTGCATATGTACTTACGTACCAGATCCAAACAACCACAAAGACTGAATGTCCAGGGGATCATGGCCCTGGCATGAGTGGCTTAGGAAGAATGCAACATGATGGTCGCACATATATATATATATATTTAATCCCGAGTACCTATTAGAAAACGGACCCCTACTAAAAACAAATCGAGTCGGAACCCCCTAAGTACGGCTTACATTCGTTTTTAAATTACCGCCCTTTCAAGCCGCTACTGAACTACCAACATTGCCGATTTTGGAGGCGTTTTAAATTGGGCTCCAAAAACAACCGCAACTGCGCACCTCTTTCCGCCCTGCCTATCCACCATGGCACGCCGCGCTTGCACCGGCAGGCTTTCCTTCCTGCAATGGCACGGACTCACGCAATCGCACTAGCCACCGAGGTCATGCAAAACCGCATGGCACAGCGACATCACCTTTCGAAAGCTTTAGCTGTTAGTCTGCTGAAGAATCACTATTCTAATAAAGGTTTTTGTAGGGGAAAAGGATGACCCTTTGATCTGGAGGTTTTTGAATTTGTTGAAACGAATTTAATAAATGAATTTATATAAAATTTTCCTGGGTTACTTTTTGGTTTTGAAGCTCTTCCCAGGTGGCCCTATTTTGGACCTCCCGATTTCAAGGACCCCCTATTAAAACACATTGCCACCGAGGTTTCCTTATTAGGGGGGCCGTGCTTTTTAAGAGGTGGATGGGATTATATAAAATCTTGTATTCCAGGGATGTTGTCGGGAGCGGCCAACTGTTCACTGGCAGCGCGTACGGACGGATGAATCTGTGCAAATCGGCTACAAGAAAAACCATACATTACTGTAACTTATAACATCTGCTAACTTAACACAATCTGAGGAACTGTCCATGAAAACCAACTCTCCTTTCTGGGAACGATACGAATTCACGGTGACACACTTAGAGGAAAACCCGGAAAACCCTGACATCGACAGGTGTTCGCTCAACCGGCCTCGTCTAATAAAGATGACACAGGAAATGGCAAATTCTCACTTGAAAGTTTCGATTTCCAACAGAATAACAGAAGACTATGTTGCATCTTCTTGGATCGCTTCCTCGCAGAAAACGTAGTCTTGCCACCCACTCGAGCTAGTACTTGCGACGCTAAAGTGCGGTTTGGTGCAGCACTTGGCGGACTGCGGAAACTTTGTGGCGGGGCAACATTTTGCGCGTGCGCAAAGCTCGTGGCCGGAGCAGCTTGTTGTAGACGTCAGAATGCAACTGTCGCGGCCGGTGCAACATTTCCATCACCTCCAGGGTTTTGTTGGTTGGCTCCAGCTCAATTGCAATGCCGGAGTCCGGATTGTTTAAGCTGTGTTTTTCACCAGATAGCGGGTTCTTACTTCAAATAACAATGAGTTGCCCGCGCGCTTTCGAGGCAGGTTGCTGGTGCTGGGCGCCGGCGCCGGTGCTGTGAGCTGGCTGCGCACGCGGTGGAGACAGGTTGCTGGTGAACTCAGCCTCTCCGGAGGAAAAGCGCGGCATCTGCAAGCTCCTTGCGTAGCTATAGAGCACGACTTGCGGGTTTTCGTGCATTTGGCCCAGTGCGTATCAGAGTGGACCACCAAAGTGGTGATGTCCCACTGCTCAAGCCAGATGCCATATACTCCTTGGTGCCTTGTAGGTATCGGGCAAGCCGAAGTGGTTTTGCCACGCTGCCATCGTTCGGCCCCTTCGTGTCCTTGGTGAGCTCTCAAACAGCAAATTGAACATCAGCGCGGTCATAGCTCAGGTAGAGGGCGGCCGAAGAATTGCAGGCCAATGCTTCGTGGAATGGGCAGCAGGACATCTCAAGGAGCTGGGACTCACAAGGAACGCTGCAGCCCCATGACCATCAAGGGCATCTTGCGTGATTTCTTTGCAACAGGCCCTCAGAAGTCCCTCATGGAGTTGGAGAAGGAGTTGCATCAGAGGATCAAGATGAAGAGTCCGATTCACCTTGATGGTGAGAAGCGCACGCAATTGAAACGGACCCGAGAGATCTTCAATGATGGCATTTTCATTACGCCAAGAGCCAAGTACATCACTACCTGCACCTACATCCATGGAGATGTGAAAGATTCAGCCAAGCTGAATGAAGTCAACACCAAGCTCTACAGGGCAGGAGTTGGAATCGTGCCATTCCTTCTTGAGCTTCCACACCACCTTGTCTGAGTCTCGCAACTTAAATTTAGTTTCAAGCTGCTTCTCGATCCAGTCCTTAGGAGGAAGCTCCTTGATGGGCCCCTGCCAGAAAGCATTCTCTGCGTCAGCAGTCATGAACGAGTAGCCCATCTTGATGCCAATCACATCAACCAGCCTTGATGTAGAAGTACTCGATTCCACCACAAAGGCGTCAGTCCTTGGGTCTCCTCTCTTGAACTCTCGAACACAGTAACGGCATCGTACTGCACCATCAGGCTTTCTCACTTCCACCCAATTGGCGTCCAGCACATTCCAGCACCTTCATTCCAGCCTCATAGGGAGCAGGCTCGTAGGTGTCATACTTGTTCATCTTGCCATACTCAACCTATCTGCCTTGGGCGCGCTCTTCTTCTGTCAGCGGCTTACTTTCTTCATCCCCCGAGTCTATTGGCTGCCATCTCCACATCCTCCTCATAGACGGCCATGTCCGTGGGAGTGCCACTCGTGCACGCTTGTCGAGGTTCCCTTCAGCTTCACCTCCTGGCCAGGCACGTCTTGCTGACACCTGATTCTCCATTGGAGACTTGTCGATGACTTCCTCAGTCTCCATCGCCTCCTGAGAGGGCTCTCCACTGATGCTGGCTGCTGGCAAGCTTCTCCGCCGCATTCCGTCCACTGCGATGGCCCGCCTTGGTTGAGGTTGGCTCAACAGGCTCCTCACTCTCCTTCTCCAAGGGCTTGGTCTTGGCCTTCTTCTCGTCACTCTCCTCAGTGGGCAGCGCACGGTGTGTCATTGGGACTGCGGTTTCGATCTTCCTCTTCGGTCGGCCGATGGTTGTTCCTTGATCCCAGGGCACTCCAATCATGGCCCATCAACTCACGGTCATCGGCTTTTGCAGGATCAGCAAAACGTCTCACTGTCCATGGCCTCAAGTGCAGAATTCACGCCATGGCTCAGGTGGTAGGTGTGTCAAAGCATGCTGCTTCATCTCCTCCTCGCTGGGCATGTCCGGTCGAGGAACCATCTGCACTTCTGCGCCCTCGCCCTTCTCTCAAGGCTTGCCGCCTTTCGCTGTGCTTCTCCACATAGTCACGAGCTGATGCCCTGCGAGCATTCAATGCAGCTTCTGCCTTCTTCAGCCTTGTCCATAGGGTGTGCTTGTCACCATAGGTAGGTTCATCCAACTCTTTGAGTCTAGCGCGGAGATCTGCAACTTTGCTCCCGGTCGGCGCGCGCATGCGCTTCGTCTCGAGTAAACTCTTCTGGCGTTGGGATCATCTCAATCCTTTCTTCATCTTCATCAACTCCGGCGAACCCCCAGTCATATCATATTGATCTCCTTGGCTCACCACGGGCGCCACAGTTGCGCTAACTTTCATGATCCTTCACGTCATAGGGCATGGCCTCGTCATCCGCAACCTTGATGTAGTAGGAGTTCCTGTGGATGTAGAGAGGGATCCTGAAGGAGATGTCACGGTGGATGAGGTATAGGGCCTGAACTTGTTCCTCATGTCGGCCGCAAAATCCACTCCTGCTCATCTTTTCCGAGAACAGCACATCTTTGCTTGCCTGCTTGAGCTCCGTGATGGCGTTCAGGAAGTTGCCGTCCTTGCCAACAATCTTTTCCAAGCTTGCCCAAGCTAGTCCCAGAAATCCTTAGCAGCTCAGCCTTGCACTCTCCGGTGCGCCGATCACCTCCAAATGAAGGTTGGCAAAGATGTTCATCACTGCCAGAGTCCCAAAGGAGGTACTTCACGGAGGTGCCACTAGCCTGGGAGAAGCTGACGTGATGCCACTCGTTTCCCACTTTCTTGTTGGCTTTGTGGATCATCATCGCCCACATCTCATCACTGTACTCGTCCTCGATGTCATAGGTTGGCATAGGTATCAGCCCATGCCTTGCGCTCATCGTTGTCAGGGCCAATCCAGTAATCCAGTAGTAGACAGTAGACAGCATTGGTGCTGCTGCCAGGAGCTCCCGTAGGTGATTGCGATGTAGCTGCCTGAACTGCATTGGCGCTTTCTTCGCGCTTGCCTTTCTCATTGTCCCTTCGGGCTCTATCTTTGGCAAGAGCTCTGCAGTCAGCTTTCTTGCGCCCCCGTTTGCCGCAGTATGAGCACTCACCATTGAACCTCTTGGGCTGCGTTTGCTCGCCCTTCCCCCTCTCTCCATGGCTGACGGCTCCAACATCTATACACGCAGGGCCTCCATATCTTTTGCCAAAGCACCACCCGTCCTGTAGATGTTGCCGGTCTGCAGATAG